GGGCACAACATCTTATGCTCTGAACTGAAGCAATTATATGTTGCTGTTACTCGGACAAGACAAAGACTATGGTTTTGCGAGAATGGAGAAGAGTTCTCCAAGCCCATGTTTGACTATTGGAAGAAGAAATGTCTTGTACAGGTTAGACAACTGGACGATTCCCTTGCGCAGGCAATGCAAGTTGCTAGTAGTCCTGAGGAGTGGAAATCACGAGGCATTAAGGTTTGCGTTATTTACTCTATAATATTCAAGAGGAACAAAGAATTGTTGTATCAGACATGTAATATTCCTGAATTTATTTGATTTGTTATTCCTCATCCTCATCGTTAAATTCCCACCTCTAAAATAATTTATTTATGATGTAACACCTTTATTTTTGGTAATATTTACGAAATCCTTTATCTTTGTTTTCTTGCAGCTCTATCATGAACGTAACTATGAAATGGCCACAATGTGCTTTGAAAGAGCTGGTGATACTTATTGGGAAAGGAGGTCCAAAGCTGCTGGCCTTAAAGCTAATGCCGATCGAATGCGGACTTCAAATCCTGCGGAGGTCAAGACCATTCTTAAGGAAGCTGCTGAGATATTTGATGCTATAGGCAAGGCAGATTCCGCAGCTACATGTTTTTCCGATTTGGGAGAGTATGAAAGAGCAGGTATGACTCTTTAACAACTGTTAATTTTTGCTTTCCAGTTTTTCTATGGGCCATTTTGATCCAAGTTCAAAAAATTCAACTGTTTTCAAATCAAGTCCAGTTTTATTTGATTTGTTATTATGTCCATTTTGCCCTTTAGAGTAGAAATAACTATATTTACTAAATTTTAATATTTGAATGCTTTATCTACCAACTTTCGAATAAAAAAACATTTAAAAATTCATATACAATAAATATGATAAGTTTATCAAAAACTAAATAATTGTAAAAGGTAAAAACTTGTGATGTTATTAATATAATTAATCTGTAATAGAGGTACATTATAAAGAACAAAAACATGTGAGAGGTAGACTATGAACAAAAACCTATGGTATAGGTAGATAGACAAAAATATTATCTACTTCCAGATATATCTACTATATACGAAGATAAAAACCTATGGTATAGGTAGATAAACACCAATGAAATCAAGTGTGGCATCCAGATAACTTTTCCACACCAAATCTTGCCTATGAGTCGCAATCCCTTTAACCATACTAAAACAGACATGAGGAATGAAATGCAAAAAGTGTCATGATTGAGTTTCCCTGAAAAACAGCCAAAGAGGAGCCACCTGCAACTCATGGAACAACAGGTAGCCTTCTTTGCTGAAATAACTTTCGTAAACAGGTTGAAAGTCCCACTTGATGCCCAGCAACGGCCGCCATAAACCTATAATCCTTAAGGGAGAGTTGAAGTTATGATATAATGGATTTGTTCAAATCCTACACTAAAGGAATTCGTTCAACTATTAATCCTATAATTGAGGGATTATGTGCATTTACATATTTTTAACAATTTATAATTTTAGGGGTATATTGATATGAAAATAAAAATATGCTTATGTGTAATCCTAGTCATTGGATCTGTTTCATACAACTGGATTATTCCTAACAGTGCCTCACAAAATTGGATCTATATCAAGTTTTCCTATTTTGGGTTTACTATTTGTTGGACGTGAATCTTCGTATTTATTGCTTGACTTAATCTAGTTGATAAAGTTAGTTTCTCATAGTATAGCTTTTACTGATGCAGCTAGGATTTATTTGGATAAATGTGGTGACCTGGAAAGAGCTGGGGGATGTTTTTCTCGAGCAGGATGCTATCAAGATGCTGCGGAAGTGTATGCTAAGGGCAAATTTTTCTCCAAGTGTCTCACTGCATGTGCCAAAGGAAAGCTAATTGAAACGGGTCTGGAATACATCAAATATTGGAAGCAGCATCCAATAAAGGACACTGCTGCGGCTCGAAGGGGAGAAGGAATAGATGAAATTGAGCAGGCATTTCTCGAGAGCTGCGCACTTCACTATTACGAGTTGAAAGATAACAGATCCATGATGAATTTTGTTAGAGCTTTTCATTCTATAATTTCAAAGCGAAACTTTTTGAAGGAGCACGGTATTCTTGATGAGCTTCTTTTGTTGGAAGAAGGATTTGAAAACTATCTTGAGGCTGCAGAAATCGCAAAACTAAAAGGCGATATTATACTTGAGGTTGATTTCCTTGAAAGGGCTGGCAAGTTCAGAGAGGCATCATTGCATATTCTAATCTATGTGCTTGCCAACTCTCTTTGGTCATATGGCAGCAAGGGATGGCCCGTAGAGCAGTTTTCACAAAAGAAGGAGCTTTTATCAAAAGCCAAGTCATGTGCAAAGAACGAGACGGAAAGTTTTTATGAGTTTGTTTGCACTGAGGTTGACTTTTTGTTAAATGAGCAGAATGACTTGGTTGTGATGAAAAATCACATGAATGCTTGCCAGAGACACAAGAGTGTTGGAGGTGAAATTTTAGCAGCTAAAAAAATACTGGATGCTCATCTTTCTTCAAGTGCCAATCGGTATGTGTGGGAAGAAATGTTGGTTGATGATCTGATAAAGTGTTCAGCAAATGGAATATCTGAAAATCAAGTTTCCATGGACTCATTGATTTACTTCTGGAATTTTTGGAAGGATAAAATTGCTCACATATTTGAATATCTCAGATGCCTTGAAACCCAGGAAGTTAGTGAATACAAAAGTTATGGAGAGTTTTGCTTGAATTACTTAGGAGTTTGGACAATGTATCTTAATCAGAGTCCAGTTTATGGTTTACTGATTCCTGATGCTGATTGGGTTCGTGGTTTGAACAAAAGATATTTTGGAAATCAAGGGAAATTGATCTCCGTTGATGCTCGCCAGCTCGCTTCAGCCGCTAGAAATTATTGGAGTTCAAAATTGCTCTCTGTTGGCATGAAGGTTTTGGACAAGCTCAAAGTGCTCTACAAGTTTCCCGTCAATAATGCTGGGTCAGTGTTCTGTCAAAGCAGGTGCGTTACCTATATCTATGAGGTCTCGGTGTATCTTTTGCAATCAAAATATTTGAACTTAAATGATGCCGAGAGATTGCACAAATTTATAACATTTGCGATCGAAATTATTGTTCCTTTGGTATTTCCTTTGGATTGGAGGAATTCATTGAGAGAGAATATGATTTCTCTTCGAAGAACTGATACTTCAAAGAATATGCTGAAACAAGTAATTCAGGAGTTTACCAGATCGAAGAATGAGTTATCTTTCGGGAAAATTGGGAAACTTGTAATGGTCATTCTCGGGACTGGTAAGCTTACTACTGAGCTGTATGAGAAGCTTGTGAGAAAACTCGGCTGCAACCTGCCATGGCAGGCTTTCATCAAGAATCTCTATGGGAATATTGAACGTGGAAACACCGGTCAAGAACCGAAAGAGGTGCATGTAATGTTGAGGTTCCATGAAGCTTTAGCTGAAACTTATTATGTGAACTGGAGGGCTGTGAAGGATTACGTAACACCTGGTTGCTTTTTATACCTTGTAGAGCGCCTTCTGCTATGGGCAACTTGCTTTCGGGGTTATGCTATCACTACAAGTTCTTGTTTTACCGAGTGGCTTATATACCAAGGGGAAGATACTAGCTTAAGTTTGAGGGGGCCTGATGTTCGACCATCTTTGGATGGCATCTGTTGTTTTGTGATTGATGTGGCTCGGGAGTGCATTTTCAATAAGGGGGATATGGTTGAATGGATTACAAAGTCCATCAAAGATTGGAAGAACTGCTATTCACTACTCATGTTGAGATTGGTCGTCGTGTTATGCTTGGTTTATGTGAATCTTGGTAGTGGTCTAAATTTATTCCGTGAGTTGGTGGGGAGGGAAGATATCGCTGAACTGCTGCCGCCGGAGTTTTATGACACCCTCAAAAGCAAGAGCTGCCGGAACTCTGTTTGGTTAGATGTGAATGTGCTCGCGGCAGCTCTTAAGAAGGTCGGTAATACGTTAGTAATAGCAAGTTTTGGGACCAATTCGGGGTTGTTGTGTTCAGATGCTGTCTTTGTTGACATGATGGCCAACCAGTCTAGGGATGACATAATTAGAAATTTGTTTCCTAAACCACCAGTCCTAAAAGCTTCGGAAGCTGGATCTTCCAGTCGTGTGCTTTGTGCAAACCAATTCTGAGGAGGGTAAGACTGGTGCTGGATTAGATAAGCCACGCTACACTGGGGAAAGTCGCACTATAGGTGAGGAAAATTGTGAATCCAACAAGTCTCCAAAGTCTCCGCAAACTGATGTTGCTTCTGTACCGAGTGCGACCAGGGACAGTCAAACTATGGGCGAGGAGAATCGCATATGGGATGAGTCAAATATGTTGGCTGATGCGGCGTCTGGTTCCCAATGCACCGGAAACAAGGGGAAGGCAGAACAAGAACAAGATGGGCGCAAAGTAGCCCTCTAGACATTATCTATATGCAATGTGAATTTTGTGTTTGTGTGCAAGAACTTGATGGTTCCTTTTATGATTATTGTTTTTAACATTTCATTACATGTTGCGCTGTTAGCTATTGACTAGATAGAGTTGGTTGAAAATGAAGACTCTAATCATCAGGGCAATCCACTACTTTCAAATATTATAATCCGATACTTTCAAATATTCTGCATTATATGAAACAAAACTTCTCCAAATTCACATGGTTTTAAACTATATGGTTGGAGCAGCTTCTCCTTTGATTGTTTTCATTTTATTTACTGCGTGACAATTTGATGTATAATTTGGAATGCAAATTGACAAGTGACCACACGTTAGGGATGATTTTGAATGTTGAGCTTGTGAGTAGTGAATTAATGACCAATCACGACAATTTTTTTTTTTTGACAGAATAGTATATTACTAGCCTCCGTGCACATGCTTACACGCGTGCAGAAGGCCCTTTTATCATTACGGCGTTTTACGCGTGATTTGTACAATTTAAATGTATTTATCTACGTGGATTTGAAAGTGAATTAAACATTAAAAGAGTGAATGTAACCTTATCATATTTAGCTTCAATACTACTGCATTTTGTCAAGGACAATGGTTCCTGCTGGGGAAGATACAGAAAATGGTTTGGTTGACTCATTTTCAAAACGAACAAATTTAAACAGGCATTTCAGGAAAGACATAAGGTAACATGATTGGTTCTTTGTACCTTATAAAATCTTCATGCATATGTTGTTTGTTTCTTTTTACAATCTTGATAATAATCTGCATTGCACATACACAAAGATGATCACAAACAGGTAGCGTAGGACCATATGTCTGGAGCTGCATTGAATCAAACAAAGGCTATGCACCAGAGCCTGCTATAACACTTTCAAAACAGCTTTGCACGTAAGAACAAATTAAACCCCGTATGTAAGTGCAACTGTTCAAATAATTTACTTGTTGAAAATTTTAGTGTTACTTGATTTTCTCGGGAACCAAACACACCACCAGCAATGGACTAAATCAGAACGTGCATTTTCAAATTGAAGAAAAATTTTCCAGGAAGAGAGAAAGAAAGGGATAGAGCAGTACACACCTGAGAATGTGGCCTGATTTCCCATTTTTTCAAAAGTAGTCAAAACCCGAAAGCAATCAAGTCTGATCAATGCCAAAACAGAAATTACATTCAGCTAGCAGAAGCTATCCAGCAACAGGCATATCCAAACAGATACTATTCATGTTTCTGTAGATACCAAACACAAGAAGTCACTTGAAATAGGTTTTTTTTTTCTTTCACAAAATGGATAACTGTGTTTATGAACTTTGGTTGGAGCCTTGCTTCAGATAATCTAAATGAAATTGAAGGATGAGTTCCGTACACCTAGAGACCGCCGTAAACAAAACATGAAAAAATGAGCAAAAAATAGAGAGGCAGCAGCTCCCAAGCACAAAGGCAAGAGGGAAAAGCTGAGAAGACCCATAAGTATACCATGGTCAAGCTTTAAACCTCTCACCTAGCTAAGCCCTGATAAACTCAAAGCAAGGACGGACATGAAAGGCCATCAAAAACCATTTCATGTTTGATAATTGTAGTCGTACATGTTGCAATGATGTTACACCACTTATAAGATCACAACGATTCAATTTTCATACCATAAAAACACAACTCTCACAATATTAAATAAGATATTCTTACAAAAAATAGAAAATCATAAAAACGAAACTGAAATAAAACACAGAACAATCTAAACCCTAAGAAAACCAAAACCCCTTAAACCAAAATAAAAAAAATAAAAAAAAAAATCATTAAAAAAGCAGATCCAATAACATCAAACGCGGCCGGATCATAACAAAAACAGAGCAGTAAAACCTCCAAACATGCCCAAACAAACCAATCATGGCATAAATTAATGAAAGAAAATCAAATACATTACCTTTAGCAGGTCGTTCATTGTCGAGGGCGGCTGACAAATGCACCAAAGAAAAACTACAGCTTGCCAAGAAATTTAACAAAAACTAAAAATTTAAGAAAAAAATTGAAGGTTTTTCCCCTGCGAAGGACCTGGTTAATTAAAAAAACCTCAAATTAAAAAAAAAAAAAAAAAAAAAAAAAGGGACCACTAATCATCTCAACATAAAAAAACTACCAGAAAAAAGTTAAAACATAATTAATAAAAAAATTAAAAACTCACCAACAAATCTTAGAAGTAAGAAATCTAGCCTCACAAAATCGAACATCAAATCCAATCCAAACGTTTTAAAGGCAAAAAAATTTGCAGGAGCAATTAATTCTAACTGAAGCAATTTCCACAAATAATTTGGATGAGAAAGATGAAAACGATGGGAAGATCCAAAATGCAGGGAACAGAGAGTTTGAAAGAGACCGAAATACACACAAAAACCAACGAAAATGAAGAGAGAAACAACAGGCTATCCCTCACCTTAAATACACAGGGCTCTCAAGGCTGCAAACAAAACCCCAAATCCGAAGAACCACGATTTCCTAAAGCCAAAAACAAAACAAAATTAAACACAACAAAGGAGAATTCGAAGCTACAAACAAAATACCCAAAATCACAGTGACAAAATTTAACCAAAACAAAAAACAGAGCTAGAGTGATCGGAAATCTTCAGAAATGGTGAAGATGGCAGTGCTGATAGGATGCAACTACCAAGGAACGAAGGGAAGAATGAAACTGGGTCGAGAGGTGTGGAAGACTGTAGAAGAGGCAGGGGATTATTTAAAAATAAAATAAATTTACAAAATTGCCCTTGGATTATTTTATGCATTCATTTTTCTTGCTTTGAATTATTTTTGGCCGAGCGGTATTTTCGTCCAATTACTTTTGTCGAAGCCGGTTACATCAAAACCGTCCTCCGACTTTATATAAAAGATACCGAAATGGTGGGAGAATAATTTAGTACGGAACTCGCTATTTATGAGATTTAAATCTAAAACCTACCATAAGATTGTAGTACTAAGTGGTAATTACAGCATTGTTAAGGATGTTAAGTTAGTTGGCATCCAACTAAACCAAAATAGGCAGCCAAATAAGAAAACTCAGAGCAGAACAAGTGAATTTTAACACCATTGTGCATGCTTTTTGTCAATGTCAAGATTTTGTAATCTTTACACTCTGAAGAAATATCCACCTAACAAGTAACACATCTGTTGAGTTTTGGTTTCAAATCATGTGTTGTATTTCACATTGTATCTGTGGAAATTTTCAGGTCGACGGGTCAAGGGCCTACTCCAACAACACCGATACTGTCCCCACTTAACCACCTGCACAATACTCAGGTGTGGGGTTTTATCACAAAAGGCCTCGGTGTGGGACTGGGGGTTCCAACACTCCCCCGCACGTGAGACCCCACTTATGGGTCACACGTGAATTTCCACACATCGGCAACCACGTGGAGCCATGTCGGGACTCACCCAATCACGCGGGGCCAATGGGGACCCACCCAAACACGTGGCATCTTTGGCCTACGTGGACAATCACGCGGGGCCAATGGGGACCCACCCAATCACGTGGCAGTATGGGCCCGTCCCCTGGCTCTGATACCATGTGGAAATTTTCAGGTCGACGGGCCGAGGGCCCACTCCAACAACACCGATACTGTCCCCACTTAACCACCTGCACAATCCTCAGGTGTGGGGTTTTATCACAAAAGGCCTCGGTGTTAATTAGAGAGGGGTATTTCTATTTAAAGCACTCTTCTCTTCTCCCTCTGTCCGATGTGGGACTGGGGGTTCCAACAGTATCCTTTACAAGACTAAAAGGTAATTCTTATACAGAGCCGAAAAGGAGACTACAAGAGGAAGACTAACAGCCATACATCACTACCAAATCAGTCCTAACAAGTGGACAAGACAAATATTAATAACAAGTAAAGTGGTTCCTGGAAACAAGGAAGAAAGATTGACAAAGGACCTAAGTGGGTGACAAGGTATGGAAGACAAGAGTGGTTGAGAAAATCACTTTAACCCATGACAAAGCTAGAGTGATGTTTACAACCATACTTGTGACATATACAAGCAACTAGTAATCGGTTTCAATAACATCAAACGGTGCTAACTTAAGGCAGCTGAGTAGGCCAACTCCTCAAGATGATCTAATTAATCAATCACCTAATTTGTCCAAACTTTTGGATTTAGACATTATCAAAATTTCATGATCAATTTACTATAAATTTTTGTCTCACTAACTGCTACTTTATTATTTCATAGTGAGAGAGATTCAAAGACGGAAGTGACAATGTGGATGGCTTTAGCTACCACCATTTTCACAACCATGGTAGCCGTCGCTTCATCGGCAGCGTCTACCGTGACCTTCGTCTTCGGTGACTCCTTGACAGAAGTAGGGAACAACAACTATCTGTCGTATTCTCTTGCAAGGTCAAATTATCCTTGGTATGGTGTCGATTATGACGGTGGTCGAGCTACTGGGAGGTTCACTAATGGAAGAACCATTGGCGACATAATATGTAGTGTCCTTACTTCTTATACTACTCATCCGACGTCGATATTTTTGTTTTCCCTTGTATCTTCAGGAACTTACTGAATTTTTTTTTTTTATCTTTTGTAGCCAAAAAGCTTGGGATTCCATCACCACCACCTTATCTATCCTTGGCACAGAATGATGATGCACTGCTTAAAGGGGTTAATTATGCATCTGGTGGAGCAGGAATACTCAATGACACTGGACTCTATTTTGTAATCACAATAATATTAATCCCTCTTATGTTTACGATCATGTCGTTGAACCTCGACTTCGGGCGCAGAGTAAATGCTTTATAATCTTAAATTATTTTGTTATTTTTCTTCGTGACAGATTCAGAGAATGTCGTTTGATGATCAAATACAAAATTTCAACAAGACAAGGGAAGCCATCAAGGCTAAGATTGGGGCAGAGGCTGCAGCCAAGCTTTGCAGTGAAGCCATCTACTTCATTGGACTTGGTACTTTTTTTATTAGACAAATGAAATTTTATTTTAGATGAAAAGACCTCATCATTTTTCGTAAACGTAGGTTAAGTCAATGATTAACTTCCTTGCGCCCATGTCTAAATTCTCATTTCCCGTAATTAAAGTAGTTTAGACAATTGCTTGTATAAATATCCTATTTATTCATTTTCTTTGCACTTTTTCAGGCAGCAATGATTATGTCAACAATTACCTGCAACCCTTTTTAGCTGATAGTCAGCAGTACACTTATGATGAATTTGTGGAATTATTGTTCCGTACCTTAGAGGGACAACTTAAGGTTAGTAATTACTACTAGTTAAATAAAAAAAACCAAAACGATAATAGAGGATTCAATCTTAAAACCTCTCACGACTCTTCTAGTATTGAGAAGAGAAGTACCATTAAACTAATGGGAATTGAAGCTGGAACATGATCTTTCATTCCAAATAAACTTCTTGAATCTAAACTGGTTCGAGTAGACTCGTGAAAAAATACAAGCTTTACAAGCCAAACATAACAATCTTCAAGTATGGCTTGTTTCTCATCAAGCCAAGCGTAGGTTTTGCTTGTTTCTTTCACGAACTTCATCGAGTCAAACACAATCCGAAATCGGTGCAAACTCAAGCTCTTTCTAGCCAATTTACAGCCATAAACCCTAGTTAATTAACAGTGCATGTTTGAATTGTTTGTGCTAGAGGCTCTACCAGCTGGGTGCCCGAAAGATGGTGTTCCATGGTCTCGGACCACTTGGCTGCATTCCTTCTCAGAGGGTGAAATCAAAGACAGGCCAGTGCTTGAAAAGAGTGAACGAGTGGGTGCTAGAATTCAACTTCAAAGTACAAAAGCTCATTGCCTCTCTTAACAGGCAGCTCCCACAGGCAAAGCTCTCATTTGCAGACACGTATGGAGACGTCTACGACTTAATCCAAAACCCTACCGCTTATGGTAACCAAACTCGATTATTCAACTGTAGATTCAAATTCGATTGAGACAGGTTTTATTTACAATGTATGTACCAATTTTTCAGGGTTCAAGGTTTCGAACACTTCGTGTTGCAATGTGGACACAGACATTGGAGGGCTATGCTTGCCTAATTCAAAGCTATGCCCCAACCGGAAAGACTACGTATTCTGGGATGCATTCCACCCATCCGACGCAGCCAATGCGGTTCTCGCAGACAAACTCTTCTCGAGGCTATTTTCCCCGATTCCTTCCAGTGCACCAACACCAACACCAGCACCTTCACCCTAGTTGGCATCTCTGGCCATGATAATTGAAGCATATATAGTAGAGAACCATTGAGGCAATAATGCAAGCAAGGTTCTATAAGACGTGAGCGGCAAGTACGAGCTTGGTGACTATGTATCCAAACGGGGCCTAGGTGTTTTTTTAATTTAAATTAAATTTATTACATAACATATAAATAAATATTTACTTATAATTAAAACAAATATATAAATTGTAAAATAAAATGACCTATAAATTATAAAGTAATATAACATATTAATGAGTGTTTATCCAAGTACGCAACAAATTTTAGCAATTTTTTTTTTCTTTGTTCGAGTCGAGACCTAAGCAGTCTAGGTGGCCACATAGGCATATGTATGCATTATTAATTATTTTTTAAATACCTAGGAATTAATCATGACGGTCCCAAAGGCCTAGCACCTAGACGGGGCATTTTAGAACACTGAATGCAAGTGATTAGTAATCAAGATTCAAGATATTAAACCGTCATAGAATGACGACGGCTTCTGTCTGTAGAAACCAGATAAATGTATTTTTTCATCGCACCTTCTTACAAAGTATTTGCACTTCATCTTAATTTGTTAAATTGACAGCATCAAGTTTGGATTGTAATCAAACGTAAACAGCGTTTTTAGTCTTGCTAAAGAACAAATTACCCGAATTGAATATCTTATTATCAATTTCCTTTCAAATGAAAGAATTTGCAAACATATTTATACAACCTATGCAAATTCAATAAATTTTCCCGCCAACCAATTCATCAAAGATACGGATGCTCACTCACCATTAAATTTGATATAAGGACGAAGAATTCATTCTCCAACCCTTGATATCAAATTTGATGTGAGTGACATTGAGACATCCAAGGGACGAGACTCGAATTTAGATAATTAACAAATTACATAAAAATACAAATAATCGTTTTTCTATTAAAGTGGGATTTCGGAACGTGCAAACATAATTCAGAAGCAGAAGCCTATGTCACAGTTTAATCATCATTCCCAATAATCAACCACCATATAAGATACGCAAAAAATATATGTAATCCTTGAGAATTTACGGAATCTTGAAATTCTCCGTGTACTCTCTGCTGTTTGGAAAGACTTATTTGTCCACGACCACCAAGGTAGTAGCGGGCAAATACATGAAGTTGAGGCTCTCCCACATGTAAGGGTTCTGGGGCTCATCGATATGCCGGAGCTGATACATCTAGGAATGGAAAACTCCCAACCAGGGGTCACTGTTTTTCCAGACTTGGGAGCTCTATCCCTGAACCTTTGTGATAGATTAGAGAATCTAACTTCAGCTTTAATATCCTTCAGGAATCTAACCACTTTGGAGATATGGGGTTGTCACGAACTGCAATACTTAATACCTTATCCCGTGGCTAAGAATTTGCTGCAACTCAAGAAGTTGGAAGTGAAGTCCTGTGAAAGAATGGTAGAAATAGTAGTCAGCAACAGAGATGATCCAGAAAATGAGATTACTTTCAGTTGCTTGCAACATTTTGAAACTTTCTGGATTGTTGAGGACTGCCAGCTGATCGAGTTAAAGATTTCTCCTAATGGGTTACTCCAAAGTGATCCAAGACTAGAAACACTACAAATTGCAGAGGAAATTGGTTATGTACTGAAGCTAAGTGATTCAAAGGGATCAAACCGTATGTACTTCATTCTCTAATTAAGCATCTATTAATTTCACTCTCCAATTTTTCAGTCTTGAACCATCAAATTTAAAAGTTTCATTTTATTTATCTTATTCATTGTTCTTCGGTCAGATTTCATATTGAACAGCTTGTGTGTTTATTTGTAATCGTCAACTAAATATATATTTCTACAGGACCAACTAATGATTGCCAAATGTAGATGCTATATAACTGCAAGAATCTTTACCAAAAAGGAATCGTCATCTAGTCGTCTTTTGTCTGACATGTTAAGTTTTTCTGGGTGTGTGCGATTGCGTGTTTGTGTGTTACTTTCTTCTTCCTTTTGTTTTTCCTTTTAAAGGAAGAAATATCAGCTTGGACAGCAGACTGGAAGGCTCTCTGATCCGTTGGACCACACAACACATTCCCTAGAAATCGCATTGGTGTGTCCAAAATTTTGGATGGAGACAACTATGCTACTTGGAGTTAGGCTATGACTATTACTGGTCATAGTTCCAAGAACAAGATGGGCACCACTATAATTGTTAGCGACCACCTTATCGGATTTTAGCTTGCAAGCTTCCGCCTTAAGGGAGAAGTAATGAGTCGTTATTATACTATATATTTTATCCTTATCTTAGTATTAATTTACTGGTTATTTTGTGTGAATTTTGATACTTTGTTATGTATTTTCAATATAGGAAATTCGACTTCATCTGGAGCAAAACATGATGAAATGGACGAATTTTAGAGTGATTCAAATTGGAGGATGTTCACATATCTCTCAACTTGTTCGTTTCAAAGTTTCATAATTTTCTTCTTTTTTTTGTGTCGAAGTTACATAATTTTCTACCCAGTGGTTTATTTATGGCGATGAAATAAAGAAGCAGCATGCAATGCTGTCAAAGTAACATTTTGGGTTTATTTGGGCTTTTGGGCGTCCAAGATAATCTCTTTTGAATTCGAGGCCTTCTGCAATTATGTTTGGGACATCTCAAGCTTTAATGCAAGTCATTTTGGGCTTGTTTTGAAGTCCTCGAAGTCCAAAAACGTGGCTGATTTGTGGCTGGGCAGATTTCCCAAAGTTAGAATATAAATGTATTTCCTAGTTATCTTATTCCATTATATTTCCTAGTTTTTAGAAGACCTTTTCTAGTAAGGATTTTAATTATGTAGTAGTATAAATAAGGCTTTTTAGCCATTAGGGTTTATTGGAGGAGGGGGAAAGGAGAAGAAAGGACGCACTACTTAGAACACACTACTTTAGAGAGCTTTTGGATTCAAGTTTATTTTCAAGCTATCCTTGTTTTTAATAATATTTTGTTTATGATTGTTTGTAACTAATTTTCGTTTGTTAGGACGAAACCACGAGCCTTAACAACACTATGTAGTTTCTTTTCAATTTGCTTATGATATTATGCATGCAGGTTTGAATTATTAATCACCAGTTTAAACTATCTAATTGTCTTAATGTTTAGCTACCATTAAGATTTTTACAAAAGTAATTTGATACAATTTTGGTCAGAGGTCAGTCCCTGAAATTGATAAAGGCTTCTTGTGATTAATATGTGCAAGTTCACTTAAGATGAATACCACGTCTTAAGGGTTGTATGGTTTTTCAAAAGGTTTCACAAAACTTAATGAGTCATGCACGTTTAGATTTGATCTAAATACCACAGACATATTGCATGTTTGATATATGCAATATGTTGGGGATCCAAGTAGGCATATATTAGGAAAACCTAACCTTCAAATATGCATGTGTAATTCCTAAGTAATTGAAAGAAATACATAAGATTGTTAAGGTGACGGCAGGACCCTAAGCTTTTACATTTTAATTTTTAAAAGCCGTTTTCTTTTAATTTATTTTATTTTGTCACTTTATTTAATTATTTTCTAGTAAATTCGTTTTTATTATTTGAAATCACAAAATCACTTTCTTTTTCCCAAAACTTTGTTTTAAGTAATTAATTAAGATTTGGTTTGATACAAACTATTCATTCAATCCATATAGAGAACGACCTTGCTAGAGCTATCTATACTACAATTACCTTATACTCTTGCAAGTATTTAAAGTGTTTTTATCCTTACTTTTGTAGGTGGTAAAAATCACTATCAAGAAATTAGCACCGTTGTTGGTAATTGTTTTAAATAGTTTGTGTTTATCAACTCTTAGTTAATTATTTTTGTATATATCTTTTTATGTACTTGATTTTATTTTATTTATTTTTAGATTATAATTTGTGCAACAATGGAAATTGTTTGTCGTCTTGAATTCAATATACAACCCAGAGGACCACCTACATAGTTCAAATCTGCAAAATGGGGGTTTTTAGGATTTAAACCTACAATTTATGCACTTTGCTAATTGAAGACCCATGATATTTTGCAGTGTCCCGAAAAAGAATATTTTCCAGGGTTTGTCCAAGAGCATATCAACATGAGAAACGACTCAAAAAGAAATTGGAACCCATTATCAAAGTTCTAGACCCCAAGTTTGCAAAAGCATCTTGAGCAGTCTAATGTGCCACAAGAGCTTTTGGAAAAGGATAAACTCTCTAAATTGTTGGAATCAACTGAGTTGTACATAGAAATAACCAATCATGGATTTCAGATTCAAGAATTAAACTGAGAAAAGCTTTGATGATCAAGAGGAGATTAGTGCAGATATTGAGGAGCAATCTGCCACTTATTCACGCCCAGAGGAGGAAACTCCCCATGATGATCCTGAAATTTCTCCAGAACCTGTTTTAACCGAAGTCCATATGCCTTACATACCCAATCCAAGACTGCAAGGCAGCCCACTGAGCTGTTTAATGTATTGAAACTGACGAGTTGGACAGGGCTGTTCACAACAAATCAGAATCTGGAAAATGACATGGTCAGCTCCTGGAGACTAACCTTGGATACACGACAGACAGCTACTGATAAAAATGTTTTAGCTGTTTCCACAGACACTGCACCTGCACAGCCCATTAAACCTAAGGAAATTCATGGAAAATCCTACGAGCAGGGTTAATTCCATCCGGGGAAGGGATTCTATTTGATTATAAAGCTTCATTCACATAGAAGACCAAATATGAAGGATTCAAACACTCACCTAAAACGCATAATTGATTAACATCTCATTCCGTACCTACTTTTGCCCTATGATGCTGCTAAGGAGTGGTTGACTCTAATAAAACAAGTGATGTGATCACCAATTCCTTCCTCTACATTTAGCTATAGACGTTAACTAAAGCGCTAAGTGGAACCCAACCCAATTTTTCCACAAAAAACATTAATTTTTTTAGTTAATCAGTATTTTATTTTGGGTTTTATTCTAATTAGATTTTTAACGTGTGTTTTTGCAGGTTGCATTCGGATTTGACTGAATCTTGCATTCAGCTGCAATCAACATTCATTCACCCCAGCACATTCATCATCCATTCTTCTACATTCAAGGGATTAGGCAGTGCCAATACGGAAAAAATAAAAAAGAGTTGAGATTCAGGATTGCTTACAGTGGGGTTTGCTTGGAAGCTTCTACAATCGGGGATCCAAGTGTGCAGAAGGGTCCACATATCGTAGATCAAGTTTCATGCAAAATTTTGCTCAACATTCATCATCAGGAGACATGTACAAACACAAAGGAAAATTATGAGCATGCAGAGATCATATTCATACACGGATACAAAGGCCCAAATCATACAGTTCATTATATTCAGCAATTTTAAACCAACACACGCATATAGCACATTCACAGATCAAGCTGGTTCCTGCTCTAAGGTGAAAAAAAAAGAGAGGCATATTATACCTTATAATCTCGGATCCGCAGGTCTTTGATATCTCCGCTCTCAATTTTGACCGTTGGATCTATGATTTTCCGTCATTCCTTCATTTTTCACGTTCTCTTTATTTACCAAACGAGGTTCCTACCAAATGACACAAACATGCAAGAGAGATTAGTATCGATTTTACTCTGATTGTAAGTCACAAGAAGAAATTGAGAAGAAATGGAGAAAAGGATGGCGGCATTCTACCTCCGTGGCGTCGGAATGGTACAGGAAATCTGCTGAGGAGATGAACGAAGATGAGAGAACAGGGGCTGGGGAGGAGTCGAGTTTAAGTTAGGGGGTTGTGGCTCGGATCTGAGAGTTTTAGAGAGGAAGCTTTGGTTTCGATTGCAGCAACCAAAGGTTTTTGTGAAAGGAAGAGCAATTTGGCGCTGGGCTCGGGGTGTAATGTTTAGAGAGGAAATGCGAGAGCCAAAAGCGGCTGAGGGTTTCGAAAGTGAGCAGCTACTACAAGGTAAGGTTTATATAGCGAATTCATAGGGTACTTGACACACGAAGGTTGCAAGTGTGGTTCGGTTTGTGCCCCCAGCTGGTTATCTCTTTCTTTATTTTATTTTTTTCTCAATTATTTTGTTTTCTGTTAATTCTTTTTCTTTTAGTTATTTTCTCTTTAGTTTTCTTTCTTTTCATGTTTTAATATAGTTCAGTTTATTTATCTTAGTTCAGGTTGTTTTGATCTTATAGTTTATTCTTTTTGTCGTTTCTTTATCTTTGTTTTATTCTCCACACCTTGAGGACAATGTGTGATTTAAGTTTGCGGTGGGAAATAAGAAATTTTAGATTTTTTTTTTTTTCTGTCAGTTAAAATTTTTTGTTTTTAAGTTAATATCTATAAATTATTTTAAACGTTAGAACAAATGGACATAGTGAAGGTTAATCCCATATTAGAGTTTTTTCTATTTATCGTTGCTTAGACACTAATTCATAAGTTATACTTCGAAAATTTCCACTTTGACACCAACATGGTTTGTGGGGAGTGAGATTGAAACACTTAGAGCGAAGGTTAATCCCATATTAGAGTTTTTTTTTCATTTGTTGTTCATGTGTTAGGCTTAAGAATTCATCACACATAAGGGGGTGTGTTGAGAATGCATTTCATATTGATAGGAGTAAGAGGGAATGCCTTTTACAGGCTTATAAAATGATAAATAAAAATCAGTGAACAAATGTTTGAATCAAGTGCAAGAAAGATCAAAACATGATCTTCAAAATTTGAATCTCTTTAGCAACTCCTCAGTGCAATTTCAAGACATTTGAATGAAAATTCCTAGTTAAAGGAGAGTTGCAAGGAGAGATTAAACAAGAATTTATAAATTGTCGGATTCTAAAAACTAGAACTCAAAAGTTATAAGGTTTGATGAGAGGTTTTATTTTTGCATGTCACCTTAATGCATGTCCTGTTAAACTTTTATAGCCAAGGACAAGATTAAGTTATAATAATCACAATCTAGTAAAGCACAAGTTCTTATTCATATAAAACATTGCAACTTCACTAACCTGATGAACCACCATTTGAAGATGCCATGGATGCTGCTATCCGATCTCAATGCACTGCAACTCTTCTCCTTTCTGTCAGATAGTTTCAAGCTCTAACCAAGAATAGGACTTAGTTCCGAATAGAGCACATACATCTGTGAGAGCAGAGGTTACAACATATATATAGGCACATATATATCCTTCTTATAACTTGATGAGGATTCCCTATTAAAATCCTTATAGAAAACAACTTATGTTTTCCAATCCATATCAGTTTAAATGTTATAACAGAATCCTTCATAAACAAGGATTAGCATTCAACTCCTCAAAAGGCCTTCCTATTCCAATTGAACTTAGTCATTCACTGTCAAAACATCCAATCTCATGTTCACATTCTTACACTCTTACAAGCCACAACATTTCAAAATTTCTGCAAACGTCCTTCAAGAATATGACATTCCATAAAAATGTACTGAAACCAATGGGGTCAGTGGCCCCATATGAATTGAATTATTAGCAACCGACACTAATTTACAAGGCTGTAGATAATAAAGGTGTGGTTCTCCACTAATTGAGTTAGACAGCACAAGTGCACTTAACAGTCAACTTTCTTCTTCCACGCCATATTAGAGAAAAGCTTCTGTTAGTGGATCAAATACTCATATTAGCAGAGAAACCTCCAACAAATCTTTAATTTCTATCGAAGAACCAGTGCATATATTTCCAGTCTGGATTTAGAAAAATATTGGTTAAAATTAGTAGCAATGGTCTTTGAATTGTAATCGAGTTTTATTTTCATTAGGGTATTGGGATGTTAGTATTGTGGAAAATTAGGATAATTTGAGCTCGTTTGACAAGGATTTCGTAGATTGACTTGTTTGGTTGCTGGGAAAATTTAGAAACTCATATTGGAAGAAAATATGACCTTAATCTCTGAGTCTGGACTACTTTGCTATGTTTCTCTGCTAATTTCTTGGCTAAACTAGTGACTTTGATGCATTTATGTTCAACTTCGTATTTTCCAATGACGTGAAAGACTTGAGTAGCTTTTGATAAATAATTTTGGGTTAAAAGTGATATGGGAAAGTTTGTTAAAAAAAAAAAAAGAGGAAACTTGAACTAGGTCCAATTTTATAGCCCAACATTAGGATTAGTCCAATTTTTAGTTACTTTTGACTTAGCTCCAATAACTAGAATTCCATGTCAGCAATTTTTCTGATTAGGTTGATTTTTTTGCATTGTTATTACTATTTTACCCTCCTATAGATTTTGCACGTTCTCCATATATTTCCCACATTTTAAATTTTTATCAGAATTCAAATTCATTGTTCAGTGGTCTTTCATCTTTCTCCCGGATTTCTTGATAACAATTTTTGAATTTGAATTTCTTATCAATCTATTTTTAAGGAAGGCTTAATCACTTTTAACTCTCTATAACTTTCTATACAAATTACATGTGTTTATACGTGCAGATTTCTTCAGGAGACCTATTCTCTAGGTACCATTTTTATGATCGTGTATTTCCTTCGTGGTTTGTCGATACTTAACCTTCTCCATCTATCAAAGGACTAAAACACAGCAGATTGAATGCCAATTAACTTTCAAGTCAGGTATATTATAATTGTTTTCCACTTTATTGTTGTTTGCGAATTCAAAACATGAAGACTTTATCCTAATCCCCCTAATCCCTTTCCATCATCTCTCATTGATATGCTTCTTTCTCTTTTTATTAAAAAAAAAAAAAAAACCAATGCACAGAAGGTGTTTGATGTTATGCCTCTTTGAATAATGTACTCCTTAATTTCCCGTAGAAATTTATTGTTCTCTTATTGTCACTATCCTTGTCACTTATTCTAGATTTCGAGCCGCTTGATGATAGCAAAAGGAAGAAATTCATTGTGATTGGAGTTGTTTAAGCATTATTCCTCATTTTCTTGATTTTGGGCATTCCTTGGTGGAAAGGCTGTTTCAGAAGCAGAGATATTGCTTCCCCAAGGTCGTACGGTTACGTTCGTATCAGACCGCAATAGAGGTTTACTTGAAGTTGTTTCCACCGTTTTTCCAGAAGCACCACATGCATTTTGCATGTTTCATTTGAAATTGAATATACAAAGTAAATATCCAAAGCAGATGGGTTCTGGTTATGGTGAAGTCGTTGCTAACCTGTTCCAAAAATGTTGTTACACCCCATCCCAACTTGTGTTCGATCAGGAAATGAAAACTCTCATCAAGGATGGTGGTACAATAATTCATAAATATTTGCAAAACACACCCAAAGAAAACTGGTCCAATGCACACTTCAGGGGGAAAATATATGGTAAGATGTGCTCTAATATTGCAGAATCCTTCAATTCTTCGATTTTGGATGAACGCAAGATGCCAACTTACCAAATGATTGATAACATACGTGTGAAGTTGATGGAGATGAGTTCTGATAGGCAACGTGAAGCCGAAATATGGACCCCACCAATATGCCCAACAATGGATGACGAAATGATGAAAATGGTTGAAGTTGGAAGACATTGGAACGTGTGTCGTTCAAGTGAACATATTTTTGAAGTCAGAGATGAGTATTCTGTCATGGTGGACTTACAAAGTCATACTTGTTTTGTTATCAATGGCAAATTAAAGGGTTCCCTTGTGCATATGCTTTGGCAGCTATTTTGAAAGATGGAGGTAACCCATATGATTATGTCGAAGATTATTTCACAACAGATTTCTATAAGTCTTCTTATTCATATCCCATCATTCCTGTACTTGATATTGAAAAGGATGAACAATCTATGAGTCAGGAGTTTGTGATAGAACCCCCATTGACAAAGAGGCCCCCAGATAGACCAAAAGTTAAAAGACTAAAATCTATTGGGGAAGAAACACGCAACAACCGGAAAACTTGAGACGCCCCTATTTGACATACATCTCCATTGCCATTTGGATTTTTTTTTTTTTCAAATATATGAACACATGTTTATTTTTTTTATTTTTTTTATTCATGTAATAAAATGATGCCTTCGACTTTTTAGTTTACTCATATTCTTCTTTTTTCCATTATCTACTTACATGTCATATGACTTATGCAATCTGTGAAGATTATATATTTATTATGCTTTCATTACTAAACCTTCCAAATCAAACCTATATATAACAAGCAGCCATAAGATGTTAAATTTTATCCTACCTATCAATTTGGCTTACAATATAAGCTACCTATCCTTGTAGAATATGATTTTTACATTCACCATTAGTTGGACAACTATATTACTTTTTGTGACGGTTTTAAACTACCTAACATGTAGGAAAATTACCGACAATCATTTTTTATCAACAATTTGAAAGTACCTATTCTTATATAATTAGAAAGTACATTTACGAACTATGTCCAGATAATGACAAAATAACATTATCTGAGATTACAAACAAATCTTATTGTGCAATCAATAAAAGGAAACATGAAGAATATCCCCTTTCAATTAAAATTGAAATTAAAACACTTAAATGAAACAAAAACTCAAATTTCGCTTAACATCTTTATCCTACTCTTCCTTTTCCCAGCTACCATCTCCCTTGTTTATGAATCTACAAAGGACATGTGCTCTCATATTCTTCATCGCCTCTGCCGAAAAGACACCTTCGACTAATTCTCCATCAGCTTTTTGTTGTGCAATATACATCACAGCAACTCCACAGTCATAACTGTTTAACAAAAAAAAAGGGGTATGAACTTAAATATTACATTCTATCACCAAGAAACCAACAAATAGGCATAATACATATGAAATTAACACTTACATGTTAGGAAATTATTGTGAGCATGATATGTTTGCTTTCAGTGGATACTCAACATTAGTTTGCCTCAACCACATGAGAAATTCTCTGTCATCATTGCTAAGCATGTACAACAACGTCTGTACCTTATCACCTTTCATGATATGTTTGCAAATAGAGTTCTCATTGAGCTTTCTTGAAATACTATCTTTCATGTGCTTAAAGGAGTTAGAAATTTTCACATGCTACAAAAAAATTAATAAAATAAAAAAAGAACACATTACAAAGTTAGTGTGTGAAATAAAATTTGAAGGATAAGAGGTATACTACATAGTTATCAACTTACCAATTTTTTAGCCACTTCGAAACAAGGATCCACATACATATTCAACTTAGTTTGTAATGTGTTGTAATGTTCCCACCATCCACTTTGTTTGTTGAACACAAGCAAAGTATAATGCTTTCCTTTGAAATGGTTAATCGGAAAGAAAACATAGTCGTTCTCCCGCACTTTTTTCAATAGAAGTTCAAGATAAATATATATTCTCACTGCAGAATTCGATTCATCCACAATATCCTACAAGCCAACACGGATTAGAAGCACACTAGCCAAAAAGTAATATACCAGTACAACTAATTATGATGTAAAAATCATATTCTACAAGGGCAGGTAGAAGATTCTCTAGATTAATGCTAGAAGATCAGAATAAAAATGGATTACTGTGTTACAAGGGCAGGTAGTTTATATTTACCACAGATACTAATAAAAATGGATTAGAAAAAAATAATAAAAATCAACATTTGACAATTACACTACTCATCACTAAATAGCATTGGTTTTTCTAAATCGAGGGAGTGTAATACCTGTTATCCAGATAACGAACACTGCAAAAACAAAGCCCAAATCACAAAAACCAAAATATTAGAAAAACATAACCATATGAGCATGTGTGAAACTGAAATCTTCCGAGAAGTTACAATACCTGTTCTACAGGTATACCTATAGATTTGGATGTCTTTAAACTACCTAACATGTAGGAAAATTACTGACAACCATTTTTTATCAAGAATTTGAAAGTACCTATCCTTATACAATTAGAAAGTACATTTACGAACTATGTCCAGATAATAACAAAATAACATTATCTGAGATTACAAACAAATCTTATTGTGCAATCAATAAAGGGAAACATGAAGAATATCCCCTTTCAATTGAAATTGAAATTAAAAAACAGATACGACAAAGCATATCTCAATTCACATAACACCCAAACTTATCTAGCAGACAATGAATTCGGATGGATTGGAGAAGTTACAATACCTGTTCTCCAAGTATACCGGGAAGCCAGAACCAGATCTTCGCCTATTCTATTTTCATCATATACTGGGAGAAATTTTATAGCTTTCATAGCTTCATACGGATTTAGGATTCAAAACAAGGTTTCCGCTGGACACGGACGCAAACCAATTTGAAAGATGGGAGGATAAGGTTTTTGAATAAACAAACAGATTAACCTGCAAGGACCTGATAAAGGGGTCTAATGGCAATTATTGTAATTTTGTTGGTAAATTATGTGCATTTTAATTGCTGACATGGGTGATTGTTGTACTTACTAGCCCCCACTTATGCTTATGTAATATAAGTGGATTCCATTCAAAATAGGCTTATAAAATTAGACCCATATCAAAAGACCCAAAAAAAAAAACTGTGAATTGAGGTGTATTTAGAATTTTGTTTTATTTTTAAAATCTATGAGGTCATAATTATCATTGCATTTTAGGGTATATAAGTAATTTAATATTAAATTTTAATGTGTAGTATTTTCAACATTTTGTGGGTGTTAATAATCAAGACGTTGTTTCTAATTTGCATGACTTAACAAATAGACTAATTAGAGCATTACTTGACTTGACATTTCCAAGCTAAGCTTGAAGCTACTGCAAAGAAAGATAACAGCTCATCCTGCCTGCGTGTATTCATCTGATATGTTTTCAACTGCATATTATTCCAAGAACATGAAGGGTTAATTACGCCTTCAGAATTCCTATATTCCTACTCCATAATTCTGTTCACACTTTCGTTTTTATGTTTTCTCTGATTTTAATTGAGCTTGTGTTGATCCTAAAAACTACCAAGCCTACGTGGCATGCATGCCGAGTAACTAATAAGCTAACTACGTCATTCGATTATGTGCAGGGCGTGCCAACTCAACGGCTGAGCTCGACCAGGGAGTAAAATGTGTTGTTGCGTTGAGTGCGTTGCTGACTTCTTGATCATGCGATTGCGGCCGAGGAAGGAACACGTCTCGGCCTTTGGGTTCTAGAGCCTGAAGACAAGGCTACTAGTCTTGCGAAGTTCACAGGCCGTTGGTGCCGGGTTTGGTCACAGTGATTATATTTGTAAGAGTAGAAGCACGCCGAACTGATACCAAACTATACGGACACAAGTACTCGAAAGAGATGTATGTCTTGATGGTAAATGTGATTCGGCCGTCAGAATGTCGAACTCTAAAACTTACTTGTGAGTATCCAATCATAAAACAACTCGGCTCTCAATGTGACGAACCTAATAACCTATAACACCTCACTTCACCGAGAAAGTTGATGAGATGACCTCTACCAACAAGGATTTGGAAATCCTTGTCGACCGAGACTTGGATAAATAACTAGTCGGCCTCTAAGCAGTGTTGTTTATCCAAACCGAATGAGCTCCTTGATCGGCTGATTCTACGGCTCTGGTGTTGTTTATCCAAACTGAAGATGTTGCCAATTGCCTTTACAGTGCTGTTTATCCAAACTAAAGATGTGTTGGCGGGAAAAAGGAAAATAAAAATCTTAAGGTTGTTGAGAGGTTTCGTGTAGAGCGAAAGTTTGCGCAGGGCAATTTGTGTATTAAATTGGAGGGGGTTTGAATGTTGCACTCCCTTCTCTATTTATAGTAGCGGCCTTCCTCATGGCCGAGTTAGAATTGCATTTGGACTAAAACTCCTTCACCCAACACAATTAGGTCTCAGCTAATCCTAACTCCAATAGGACTTTGAACCAAGCTCCCTAGTGATCCAGGTTCATCTCCTAATCTGAAGCATCCTTAGCCTCTAAGACCCCTTGTTGTACTAGGATTCGACCTCCTCGTCTTTATCTAGCCCAATACTTCTTATAACAGGATTCAGCTGATCCACGTTGGGCGGCCCACAAGAAAATTCCAGACAAATCCTTTTAGACCGAGGATCAACCAAGGCTCGGCCCAACATGTCATTTTAGGCCTAAACAACTTGTTAGAAGAAAATAAAGAATTACATAACGTCCTCTGTTCTTACTTGTTTAAGCTTCCTATTCCAAGGAATTCGATTAGGTATGTCCTTCGATTTCCTTCTTTGATTTCATTATGTGTTTTACTTCTCAAACTGTCATTTCAAGGATTGATGCGTCTTTATATTTTCTGTATAATATTCATGGGAAATGTTTTATTAGTCACTTGGTAATTTTAATTCGAAATATTCCTTTGGTCTCCTCATGCAGCTCTCTCCTCTCTATGAAATCTGATTGAAGATTTCTGGAAATATTCCTCATCATTTTTTAGGACGTATTGCTGGATCTGTGTGATTGAAGATCTGGTTGGCTCATTCATCTAATATTCATGTATGGAAAAAGGAAAACCCTAGTTCTGTATGCAAAAACCAATCGGTTTCTTTGCATTTTGGCGTATTTTTTTCCTTCTTCGGTTTCTCTACCCTTTTTTCAATCTCCTTTCTTCCGCTTTTTTTTTTTTAATTAATTTTTTTGGTCTGTTCTGTAGAAGGTAGTGTTCGGTATAGCTGAAAGAAGAATACGATAATTGGCGCCCCGGATGTTCACCACTTGTCAATGTAGTGAAGGAAATTACATAATCAAATTCTAATGTTGTTAGACTATTGATTACTATATTGTAATGTCAAAGGACTAATAATGCTACCAAACACAAATTCTAAAATGAATATGCGAAAGGTAGGATTTCCTAGCTTGGAGCATGAGTACATATGGGACTTACCTAAGTTGAAGACAATATTCCACAACCAACTTCATCCAGATTCTTTTGGGAGGCTTAGTATTATAGATGCCACAGTCTGATAAATATTTTTGGGCCAAGTATCAT